AACTGTTGCCTATCACTGGACAACATATATATTTCTACGTTTCCAGCTTGTGAAACAACCGATTCCGAGTTGCCTTGCATCACCGAAGGTATCGACGTGCTACGTCGTTACGATTTCGACGAAAGCAATTTTTGGATAGATATGCTGTCGATGGTCGTTATTTATTTCATATTTCACATTCTTGCTTGCACCTGTCTATGGAATCGTTGTAGATGCAAATGAAAAAGTATATTACCTACGACCTGTGTATCACGCTACCAATTGTCAATGATTTATTTCCATTTGTACTTTTACGTAGCGACATGATAACTGTTAAATGATACCTATTCGTAATAAAAAATAATAAAATGTTAATAACTTTGGAATTTTAATGTACTATCTGCAAAAATCCATACGTAAAATACACATACGATAGAGTATTTTTTAACGTAGTGGAATGATTTCATTGTTTCACTAGTTTCACGTTTCCGTATCGAAAATTCGATAAAATTCAACGAAGTTATAACAGGCGATCAACTTTGACCGTTTTATTTGTAATTCTCCGATTCCTCCGGTTTTCCGTACATCGCAGACGAGATGCACGTATCGTCTGTGTTTGCACACATAGAGTGCGCTAAAAGATCCAAGACCAACGATTTCTTTACCATGTCGGTAACCATGTTTCAGGCCGATGCGTGTGACAACAACCTCCACCAGATGTCACGTCTATTCTATCCTTATCTTGTCTATGACTTTGCGCGAAGCATTATTTTAATATGTCATTCAACTGTGTATGCACAGTCCGTGTTGATTCAAACGGGCGTGAAAAATCTGGTGAGAAGAAACTAGTTTTGACAAACAACTAGTAGTAGTCGAAGAAGAAACTTTTAACATTTGACAATTTGATAAATTATTATATATCTCGCGTATTATTAGTTTCGATGCGATTATAACATGCACATAGATAAACTATTTTTATGCTATTTGGCATTGATGGCTCGATTCAAGTGGCCACACAGTTGCAGACACGTCCTTTTGATTTTGAACACAACCGCGGTATAAACGTTCGGTTTACTTTTGAAATTATTAGATTAGATATCTTTACTTCTACTCGTGATAATTCAAGTAATCGTGATCAAACGACCAGAAAGATAAAAATAGATGTGAATTACGATTAGGAAATCGTTGCAAATATCACGGAATAGAAACCGTTAAATCCGGTGAGAAATATATCTGTAGGAAATCAGCAATCGTTACAAAATCGTTTGAATATGTGCTCTCAACTCTTTCAACGTCGAATAATTCTCAATATTTTCAAACGATTTCTGGATAAGCAGCTTCCTGCTCCCTTTCCAGTTTCACGTTCCCGCCGAAAACCGTTGCTAAAACTAACGGTAACTAACGGTTTTATGTTACATATGCCGATGTCAGATCGACCAGGTCGATATCGCAAGAAACATCGATCACGTTCGAGAGTCGCGATACGTGATTGCGAAATTTTTCACCGTATTATCGGGCGTTGTTGTGACCTTCGCTAAAGTTAAAATTGTTCTGTTCTTCGTACGAAAATGTCTTTCCTCTTCGGTTCTTTTCGTTCGTTAAATAAGATTTTTACAAAGATATTGTATAATTGTGATTCTTTAAACCTTGGTCTAATTTTAGGTTTAGTAAATTTAGTAAATTTGATTTTTTTTTTAAGAATAAACTAGACGCGAATCTAATCTATCCTATCCTTGTTCGATGTTAACAGCGTTCGATGGTTTGAGCGTAGAGTGCGTTAAAAAACTAGTCATTTTTTTTTCTGGTCGGTATTTCAGATTCTGAGACGCAAAGTCCCATTTCGTGTCCAATCTGTTCTATCTTTGGTCAATGGTCAGTGACGACACAGGTCCATTCCTGTATCATCGTCAGGCAGATTGCTCGTCGTAAATTTCTTGTCGGAAGTGTCGCACCATGATTTCGCATTTCATCATTGCGACATTGACGTCTCGCAGCCACGTTCGTCTGCGGTAGTGATGCCTGAGATGAGAGCATGTGCATCAACAATCGGTATCGTACCGTGTCAACTTTATTCTCTCTTCACGTGTAGATTGCGTTGGTGTAGATGTCGCGAAAAGATGCTTTAGAAAAATTGAAAGGAGATTGAAACGAGGAGATTGCACGATACCGATAGATCGAGGAGGCAAAGGAGGTAAAAGAGCGCGCGAGTGACTGATACTTGGCATGGTGGGACAGCGAGGATGGCTCATGGTGGAAAGAAGAGGAAAGAGAGAAGGAAGAAAGGAAACGTAAAAGTAGATGAAGACGGTTAGAATAATGGCGGAGAAGAAGACAGTGTGCGTGCGCGCGCGCGCGCGTGTGTGTCGTGATATATTTTTTTTTACAACAGAACTCGAAATTAAACTGGTTGCAAATTATGCAAGAGTGGGAAAAAGCATTCAGTTCCAGGGATCGTCTCTTCTCTATTTTTGATTCAACGACTGTCTTTGCAGACTTTACCACCGTCCCTGTTCGGCTCGGTTCTCTCTCTCTCTCAGGTCGCCATATTACCGTGTTGTGCCGTGAAGTATCGCGTTTCGTGTCGCGGACTCGTTCGTATCACTTTCGCACCAAGATTTCTGACAAATATTTGAAACAACAATTGATACGCACGCATCGTTGCATCTCACGAGAAATGAGAATGAAGTCACAACGGGTTGATACGCATCGTTTGTATCATTAATCACCGTCCGTTGTTAACCTATAGCGAATGAGTGAATCGAAGCGTCGATTCGATTCGATCGACGTGAGGTCGAGCGTTTGTGGAAAGCAGTCGACCGTTTATTCCGAAATGTAATACAAATGCAAGAGGAGAAGAAAGAAATCGGTGCTAAAGCGATCGTCGATGTACCGATGTGCATGTCGCGCGTTCGTTTGTAATTATGTATATATACGCATACGTCTATTTACGAGTT